ATACAATTATCAATGCAGGACTATGCAAGGCAACAGTTACATACTGAGGCAGCAGTATAGCCATCACTTTTATCACTGAAAAACAACATGTTCACAGGATTGAGATAAGGTTGTGAACGCACTCTGGACCGGGCAGACTCCTAAACTTTTGCTCCAGATCCCAACACGGCCATGGAGCTCCGCAGTGTTGAGTCCGGCTTTATGGAAGTCTAACCATTACTAATAGAGATCCTCAAAGTCTAAAAATGCCAACTACAGTGACAGTCATTGAACAACTGCAGTGCTCATTATACACCAGCCACCACAAGCATATCAATTCTGAGAAACGTCTTGGATTTCATGACTGGAGTAGTGGATTTCATGACTAGAGTTGTGCCAGAGGGGTGAAAGTATCATTCAAGACATTCATTCATCTCATAAATGCATTATGATCCTAGTGCAATGCTGAGTCGAGTGGCACTTTAAAAAGCCCCTTCTCGTACACCCTCAAAAACACGGACAAGGGAAAAAAAACCATGCAGCCCTCATTATCTACTTTTTAAAATCAAGTTTTTTCCAAACTGAAACCCTGTATGACTGAGCATTAAAAAAGAGGATCATTGTCATCTTTGAGAGTAGTTATACTCGGCCTGGAGGTCAGTGGTGCCCTGGCCAACAGGGCAGCGAGTCTATATTTAGTCTGCTGCTTGGCAGTCAAAGCAGTGTGAAAGGCAGGCACATGTTGTAAGACAGCCAGTAGAGGAACACTGAGAGCAAAGGTGGTCAATTTGTGTCCAGACAGTTTGGAGCCTGTTCAAGCAACAGAAGACTACCTGTCAAATTCCTCTAGGGCAGCTGCTGGGATGAGCTACATGATAAGTGGTTCTCAATAGATAAGCTAAACCCAGTGAATAAAGCTTGGAATCCTGCAGCATAATCTGTTTGTAACAGAGTGGATACACATATTTAACTTGTTTAAAGCAAAAAAAAAAATGACTTGATCTTTTTTAATTAATTAATGTCAGGGTCATGCCACGCACATTTAAGGACATTGTTTTCAAAATGTCCCAACAAAAAGTAGGAAAGAACATGACCATAATATTCCTCTAATGATGACTTGGCTCCAAGGGGAAAACAATCTGTGTGATTCACTCTTAAGAGAAAATGGAAGAGGTAGGAAACAAACATCACTGCTCAAAGTCTTCTTCCAACTTAACTGTGTCCTGCATAACAACCAACTCTTACTCAGGCTAAGTGTCATTAAGTGTGATTTTCATGCAGCAGTGTAACACAAAACAGTGAATTTTGACTGTGTGTTATGCTGCTCAAACTCCTCTGTTGGTAAGCAATTTTAGAGATTGTACTAAATGCTACCGGAATGCTAGTTTAACATTAACATGACCTCACAGGGGGGCATGTTGTCTCTATAGGACCTCCCGTGTCCTCAACTAGCACTACACAAGTCCGGGACTTTCCCAAACAACTCAAATATTTCACTGAATATATCTATCAGTGATACTTAAAAATAAGTCAATTAATCATTTAGCCTCACTTGATTGAGTACATTTTCTAACTTTCTCTGACCAACAACGGAAAGCAAAAACGAATTATTCATTTATAAAGCCAGCACCATTTCGAGTTTTACTGGAATGGTAACTTAAACCTTTTATTACAATTTAATTTGGACCATTAGAAGATTATAATCAGAATTGTACTATCAACTAAACAATTAATTGACGAATAATATGAGCATTGTGCTTCCCAGGGACCCTAAATGACTTCACCACTCTTTACCAACACAAGAACACAACCTCTTCAAACTCTTAATAGTGACTAATAAAATGCCAACAAGACTTTAAAAACTCTATCTATATTAACTTTTTAACCCTAACCCACAAAAGCAAGCTATGAGTAAGTGTGCAATGCATCACTGCAATGGAATCAGTGTATTTTTACTGCCATACATTCATACTGCGTGGGTCAGTCTTTACCTTTACCCTTTATTCTCCCTTAACTCCCACAAGTATGCAGTAATAATCTCACATGACGCTCATCAATCCATTATATAGAATCCATGTAGTTACAGAGGGATATATTTGTACCCAACGGGAAAATGCATTGTTGTGCTTGAAAGACTTATGATCTTTGATTACTAATGGTCTGACAAATGGAGTTTGAGATGTGACACTGATACATGTCCCATGGGCCTGGCCCGGGAGTAGCCCCAGGAATTGGAATGAATGGACATTAGCAGCTATGGTACTGAGGAATGAGATTTGACCTCAGCAGTAGATCATGCTAAAGTGGGAGTGGAAAAAGGCATAAAAAGAATGACCCAAGCATCCTTTTTGACCTAGGGTTATCCATAAATGTGGGAGGTTGTAACTACAAATCTAAATAGAAGTTGTTTGTGCATGGGAAACCATTTTAACTGAAGATAAAAGTGACAACACGGAAAATGCATAGGATGGCCTTCATTGGAGACTTAAGGCAGCCCAACTGTCTACAAATTAGACATATG